CAGTTCAGGTCCTTTCTTTTCGTCACCTCCCCCCAACTAAAGCAGACTCTTTTTTTTCTTGAAGGAGGACCCCCCCAGCCCCAGGAAGCCAGGCCCCTTCTCTGCCTCCCCCGGTCTTGCCCTGAAGCACAACCCCCCCCCAAAGGCCGAGCAAAGGGAAAGTAGGAAGTGTGCAGCGGTGCACTGGGGAGGAGGGAGCAACGAGGCCTCCAGCTGTCTGCTCGATCCTGCAACTGCTCCCAGACCAAGCGGCAGAGACCTGGCGGGACCTGCCCGGGCAGGCCGGGATCCCTGGGGCCGAGTGCAGGAGACAAACGTTAAGAGGGAGAGGCGCTTCCCGCTGGGCCCCGAGACCCCTCTCCAACACACACACACACATCCCTTTCATGCCAGGCTCCGCCACTGCTTGCATGCCATCTTCATCAAGAAGGGGCAGAGCTGCCTGGATGCGGGTCCATCTTTCCTAATGTCGGGCACCAAAAGCAAATTAAAAACTTCCGTGCACCCAACAGGATGGCCTGTCTTGGATCCGGGCACAAGGAGCCCTCACATCCCCCAACCACAAGTGACCCAACCAACCCCTGACCCTCAGAGGAGGCCGAAGGGGGGCACCGGTGCCCTGCCCCAACAGCCCACCCTCCAAACCCAGCAAGGCGTAGAGGAGCCCCGCTTTCCCTCTGGGACAGGCCACCCAGCTGCAGAGCACTGATGCCAATTTGCTTAACTATCCCCTGCAAGAAAAAATGAGATGGAAGATGGGGGGGCACACTGAGGAACTCCACCCGTCCTTCACCTGCTCAGTAATTCATCCAAGGTATGCCAGGCTGACTGCCAGTGCTCTCAGCCCCATCGCCCCGGGGCAGGCGGGTGGCAGGAGTACTAGGGCAGGGTTTCTCAAGCTCAGCAACTTTAGGGTGGCCAGGGAATTCTGGGAGTTGAAGTCCACACATTAAAGTTGCTGAGTTTGAGAAACCCTGCGCTACAGGATGCCTCCTTCCCCACTTCCTTCTTCCTCCCCCGCTTCAGATCAAACCAGCCTCCCCACGTTCTGCTGGCGAAGCCACAGCAAAGCAAAGCAGAGCAGGGCGGATTGCCTCTCGCGCTGCCAGCTCCCACCAGATCCAGGGAACTGGAGCTGGCACTGGTCCTGCAGGAGAGATGGGGAACGCCCACTCCAACCTCGGGCAGAAAGAAGCCAGGGCGAGTTGGCTTCTGCAGATAGCAAGAACTCAGCCACAGAGATCAACTGCGCCCTTCTCCAGCCTGGCATCCCCTCCGTGTGCTGGAATACAAGAACCCTCCTGGTCATCCTAGGCCAGCAGACTGTTTCCCATATATCATTCTGGGAATTTTCCACGTGGATTGGGAGAGATGTTTGGAATCCAGGTTCTCAGTCTTTCCAGGTGAGGCCTACCCACGCTGGTCCAACAGATGCCAGAAGGCGGCAGGATTCACACCTAGTGCTAAATGGGGGCAGCTGCAGAGCCAAGATGGCAGCTGTGGCTATGTGATAAACCCAGCCCCTTTATACAGGCAACAGACATAAAGAGAGGCAGGGCTTCGATCATGCCTCTGCCATCTTGACTGTTCTGACCCACCCCAGTGGATGCCCGACACTAACCACGATGTTATTGCTTAGCTTTGTTCTTATTCTGAATGAACCCAACCACTGGGGTTTGCAAGTTGCGGTTCATGGTTTGCCAACCCATGTTGTACAAGCCCAGCCAGTGAGGGTTCATGAAGCAAGCTATGATTATACATTATCGTTTAACCTGAGACACCCATTTAGTGTGTGAACCCAACCAACTGTGGCTCCATCAACGAAGAACTATGCAAACCATGTTTAAGTGTGTTGTGTGAACCCCACCCTAACTGAGAACTGTGACCCCTCGCCACCAGCTCTTCCAACGTAGTTGCCTTCCCACCGCCGATGTCTTCTCCGACGGTCAGTCTGCTGCCTGGCTCCAGAACTAAAGCCGCACAACCCCAGAAGAGGGCACAGCTGTTTGCAGGCAGTCCCACGGCAGGCTACGCCAGTACCCAATTTGCACAATGCAGAGGGCTACAACACTGAGGTGTGGACACTCCTGGCTCTGATCACACAACCCAGCTCAGTCAACCACCAACCCAGTCAGATCTCCTTAGCACTGGTTCAGGGACCACACCGTCAGGCAGACAGGACGAAACCTGCATTCGGGGAACAGAGAGTCCTAATCCAGTTTCTCCAGGAAGGGGCTAGACTCCCAAAGCCCTCGTGCGAGGTGACCCTGGGAAGGGCGCAGCGCACTTGATTTGGCCACGGCAGCCTGTCAACGTTTAGGAGATCCGTTCTGCCCTGCCAAGCCTTGGAGCAGACACTTTCTCTCCGGCTCTTTTTCTTGAGAGGCCAAACAAGGCACCGGAGTGGGTTGAGTTCCTCCTAGAATCGATGGCATTTAGTCCAGCCCGCTGTACAGTGGTCTGCTTGGAATTATACTTAACACCCTGAAGGCAGAGTGGGCCAGTTAAGGCCTTTCTGGTGCTCCCAACACACTTCCCTTGGAATCAGTGATTATTTACCCGCTAGTTCAGTATATCTCAAACTCAGCAACTTTAAGATACGTGGACTTCATCTCCCAGATTTCCCCAGCCATGCTACATTTTACTTATTGTGCTGTGTTGAACAAACCACAGTTGGCTGGGTTTGCCCAACATGTTAAGTCTTAATGCACGGCTGAGTGCGGGGGGACTGGATTCATAATACCCCAAGCCAAAAGCAAACGCATCACAAACTTGGATGAGACAAGGTGCAAACCAGCCTTTCCTCTGTAGAAGCTGGAATCAGGGAAATACCGCAAGAGCGTTCCAGCGGGTCAAGTGTTGTGTCGGTTGTCTGAATGGCTGGTTCCTGGCCACATCTGCAAAGGAGCAGGCTTCCAGAGCAAAAGATACAGACGGCATCATCTCATCTAGGCTCAAGTGGCCAGGCTGGAAAACTGGAGGACCTAAATTTTTGGCCTTCCCCCGGATTCCTCCCTCCCGGCCACAAACCGCAGTTCCCAGAGCGCCTCACTCAACTCGCCCAGCAGAGGATGTGGCTGGATTTCTATCCACCCTCCACCTGCCCTCCTTCACCCCCTCGCTTTAACTACGTTATCACCGGAAGGCTTTCAGCCCCAGGAAACGTCTGTTTTATGGCTCAGCGTCTGGAGGAAACTTCCAGCTCCCCTTCCTTCCCCTCACTCAGGAAGGGTTGCCTGTCTGCAGCCAGCCCCGCAATCTACTCGAGACCCTCGAGTGATCTTGTGCTGATTTCAAAGACTGGCCAGGATAGAGGGGAGCAGATTTAACGTTCCTTTGTGCAACCTGTCTTTTTTGATAAAGAGGTAAGAACGCGTTTCAGTTTAAGAAGACCTCTCTTTCAGACTGAGGAATGCGAGAGAAAAAACTTGCTGATATCACTGAAATGATGTTGAACCCCAAACTGGGAGGGGAGATCTCGCCCCCTTTGTGAGAGCTACGACCTTTGGATTCATGCATTTATTTAAGCAGCTGACTTGGTTCCCCTCTCATTTGCTGCATTCACACAACATGCTTAACCAGCTGAGTTAAAGACTTAGCACTGCATTTGCACTACAGCTACACTCGCTTAGGATTAACTTTAATTCGTGTAAAACTTTGATATGTACATGTATTTGTGGTTCAGCGTGTTGTGCAGACCCAACCTGTTCGGTTAGTTTAATTCAGTACGTTGTGCAAATCCTCAGAACGGGTTAATTCATACCCAGGTTCAGCATGTTGTATGAACACAGTTCCTGCGAAGAGACAGGGAGGCCTCTGATCAACATCATCCATGAAGCTTCCAACCCATCCAGGTGCACATCTGAAAATTGCAGAATTGCATTTTGGAATCATCAGAAATACGCAGCCCCACACAAACGCTTTGTACAGAAGAGCGTTGTAAGTGGAACCAGCCCTCCCCTTTCTTCCAGAAGAAAATCTGCTCTTTTATCAGATTTTGCAAGAACTTGAATCCTGGACTTCAGAAAAAGTAAATTTTAATAAACCAAACCAAGAACAATGTTAAATAGGATTCAACAGCAGGAGAAGCTAATAAGAAAGGGATCTCAAGATGGTGGGAATTGCTAAAGAAGGAGACCTAAAAACATAACTGCAAACAATGCCAAGGAGATCAAACCATGAAGACAGCAGAAGAAGCCAACAGGGCTGCACAAAACACCTAGAGAAGATCTGAAAACAGCAAAATGACATACATAAGGAATGGAAAGAGGACAAGAAGAACTAAGTAGATCTATAGCTGGGTTGATGTTGTACACAAATGCTTACTGGTGGTTCCTCATCCGATCATGGAGAGAGGTATCAAGTGGAGCACCCCATGGATCACTCCTGGTCCTTCTACTCTTCCATTTTTTATTAATAGCGCAGGCTCAGAGAGACACTGGCTTAGGTGAAGAGGCAGAGATTTATCTGCTATTTTAGAAGACAGAAATAGAATTACCTTGGAAAGCTTGAGAAACAGCCTGAAAGGAACACTACGAAACTCAACAGCGGCAAATGTGAAGTTCTTGAACAGGTAAAGCAGAGAGAGACTGAAGGAGTCAACTATGTTTAGCCTTGACAAAAGGTTGGCAAGGAGGGTATGATGGCTCTTCAACGCACTTTTTGGGACGCACCTGGTTGTCATTGAGATCTTTCTTTCCCAAAAGACTCTGCCTATTCAGTGCTTGCGAGCAGAAAGTATCTGTTGAACATCCCCATTTACTGGGAAATCTGGGGGGAGGGGGCTTGGGAACAAGCCTCATTGGGGAGGGGGGGCCCAGAGATAAAATCAGCCTCATGGTCTCCTTAACTTGACCTTTGGGGAATCAAAGATGGAGGCATATTTTTGGATGAGAAGTAGATCCATGGAGGTTGTATTTTCATTTTCGTTATTATCTGATGCTGACTGCCTTTGTCTGCCCGTCGTAAGCCACCCATCATCAACCAGGCCGAAGTGGCATACAAGTGATGCCATGGCTGGCTGGGGAATTCTGGGAGTTGAAGTCCACCCATCTTAAAGTTGCTAAGGTTGAGAAACATTGAGTTAGACAGTGGAACCAGTTCCCCAAAGAGTTCCCCACTTAGCAGCAGTTGGACTGGATGGTCTCCAGACTCCTTTCAACTCTGGGGTGTTGTGAATGTTTATCTTTACACCCCCTCGAGAATCAGGTTCGTCAAATAGCCACAGAGAGGAGTCCAGCTCTGCCCTGCAAGCTGAGTGGGACCCTCAAGCCACCCCCATAGAATTCAACCAGTCACAGGAAAGAGCTGTGCAAAGCAAGGCAGGGGTGAAAAAACAAGAGGCTCTGATAGAAACACTGCAGCCCCCATTCCCGAGGTGAGACAGTCCCTATCCTCAGAAATCCAGCCCCCTGGTTCCCTTCTGCAGGGTCTCTGTGGGGCCCAGCTTACCTCCTCCCCACACGTATTCCTCTCCGTGCCCCATACCATCTCAGACATTCCCCTTGGGTTGGTGGCAGTTCCTTGCAAGTCTCATGAAAAGGCACCAGTCCAGCCTACCCAGACTCGCTCCAAATGTGGTGGAGGACTACCCTTTCCATCATCCACAGCCAGGGTAGCCATGGATGGACTTCTTCAGAGATCAATGAGGCATCCCACAGGCCTAAAAGGCACTGGAATGAAGTCTGCAGTATGCTAAGGGCCCCGCACGTTGCAGTGAATCGGGACCAGCCCTCTCTCCAAAGACTACAATATTGAACAGCTCAGACAGAGCAGCATCAGACACAGGAGCAGCATCAGACACACCAGCGTTCCCCAGCCTGAATGCTCTCTGGATGTCTGGGCTTCAGTTCCCAGAATCCCCCATCTCTACGGCACCAGATTTGGGAAGGCCAGCGTAAAGACCTTATAAAAAGACGAAGGCTGCCTGAAGCCGCCCCATCCATGGCCGGCTTGCCTTCGGCCACCCCAGGACGTCCTGGGACCCCCCTCCTCAACCCCAGCTGAGCAACCGAGGCGAGGGCAATGCATGAGCCTAGCCATAGAGTGGCTCAGCCACCCGGGCTGTAAATAAAAGCCATGGGCCCTGCGGGGAGGCCAGTTGCGGCTTCTCCCAGACGCCTACGGGTGAAGCATGCAAGGAATCCACTTTGGGGACAATTAAGACTGTTTCCAAGACAGCCGCAAGTTCTATCAGTCTGGTTTTGGGTTGTTAATGGTAGTCCTGTGGGTACTTCTGGCCAGGAGCGGTGGGAGGGACACTAGCCAGGACTGGACTCCGGCCCATCTAGTCCAGCCGTCTGTTCTCACAGTCGCCAGAAAGGACATATAAGGGGAAAAGGGAGCCCTCCACGCCACGTCCTGGAGATCTATTATCTACCCTCCTCCCAAAACTTGGTGCCCCTTAGAGGTGCGGACTGCAACTTCCGTCACTCTTGCCTGTGGGGTTGAAGGAAAGGGGAGCTACGCAGAGCGCCGTCATCCAGCGGGCTGGGGTGATGGGACCTGTGGTCAACCCCCGCGGGAGAACCTGCAGCCACAAGCGAGGCTTGGACGCTCCGCAGCCCGGGCACCACCAGCGTGGCCGGCACGTGACCGGAGCCCGGAGAAGAGAAGAGAAGCGCCGCGCCGCGCCGCTTTCGGTCGGCCGGACTTCGATGGCGCGTCCCGCTCGAAGTGGACGGGATCTGCTGCCCCCACCCGCTCCTCTCCGCCGGGGGAGGGCGGATTTGCTGCAGCGCCGCACAAGAGCGCG